TATTCAATTGTATAAATAAATAAAGAGCTGATGTATATTTTCGATTTTATTCACTGTAAAAAACTTTATTTTCAAAGTCATCATATCAAATTTAACATAAATAAAACTTTTCATCAAATATAATAATAATATTATATAAAATGAAATATTTCATACAAAGTTATTGCAAATTGCAATATGATAATATATAAATTACTATCATTTTATTAATTATAAATTATTTTGCCAAGAAAGGGATAATAATAAAATAGCTAGACACAATATCCATATTATCTTTGGGCCCATTTTGGTAGCCGTAGCCTTTTATATTAAATGAACTTAGCACATACTCCTGTGGCATGTAGTATATGGCATGCAGCATGTGGCAAGTGCGGCACACTCATGGACGATTTGCAACCAATACCTGCTGGCAGACGGGCAAATGAATGGAAACGTGTGCCAGAAATACGTGAAACGAAGCGTAAATGAATTTTTCACTCCCCCATTAAAATTTAAGTGCACATTTTCCGGCGCAACGCACGAGAGGATGCTAGCGAGAGGGCCAGCACTGTGGAAATCGCAACCATTAAGTTGAAGGAAGTTTAGAAGTTGGAACAGGACGTGGCATCCTGGCTGCTGCTTGCTCACACAGCTAAAAGAACTTGCCACAAAATTGTTAAATTGTTAACTTGTTAAATTGTTAAATTATTAAGCAAGAGCAAAAGTTTGCACCATCTCTAATCACATGATATCTCCCTCTCTCTCTCTCTCTCTCTCTTTCTCTCTGCAGATTATATGCAATCGCTGTGCAAGAATCACTTTCTGCAGCAGCTCTATCGCAAAATTGATGGCGCCGTCCTCTGGTCCCAGAATGAGCGCAACTTGGACTGCGTCATCACGTTCCAAACCCACTCGATTCTGCAGCGCTTCATGCTGCGCTTCGACATGCTCCAGCTGGACTGCAATGATCACCTGCTTGTCTACGATGGAGCACACGCTGTATCGACGCCAAAGGTGAGAATAAAATAATAATAWATAAATATTTTATTTTTAGATTTACTGTTAATTTAATGAGTGAAGTTAACCCAAAGCTAAGTGCAATTATTGAGGCTCAGTCTAGCAAACGCATAGGCAAAGCCAAAGGCAATGAAAGAGGCAAACAAAATGTCAAAGGCAAAGGCAAATAAAGGTAAAGACATAGACTTAGGTCAAGGCAGAAGCTAATGCAAAGGCAAAAGCAAAGTCACAGACAAAGGCTAAGATAAAGGTAAAAACAAAGGGAAATATAGAGACAAAGGCAATTGCAAAGACAATGGCAAAGGCAAAATCAACGGCAAAGGCAAAGGCAAATGCAAAGACAAAGGCAAAAGCAACGGCAAAGACAAAGGCAAATGCAAAGGTAAAGGCAAAGGCAAAGGCAAAGGCTAAGACAAAGACAAAGGCAAAATCAACGGCAAAAACAAAGGCATAGGCAAAAGCAAAAGAATAGCAAATAGAGGCAAAGGGAAAGGTAAAAGCCATTGCGATTTGTGTCGCAGCCTTATGATCCAAATGCACAATCGGAGCACGCTGATGCCTCTGACATTTTAAGTTCAATCCCTGCGGGGTTTCCGCAGTGACACACACCCACACACACACACACAGACTCACACCTACTCACATACACACTCACACTCACATTCTCTCTCAAATGAAGGCATAATTTTAGCCTCTGCAACATTTGCAACGATGACAACGGGCAAGAATGTCGGTCGATCGCTCTGTCGCCTGGTGAGTGGGTGGGCCCAGTGGAGACTGTCTGGTTGGGTGGTGCATGCACCACTGCGGTTGCAATGCGGCGCCAAATGGCAGCTGCCAACTGCCGGCTGATAGCGCTCTGATTTTATCAGCAACAATTTTCATTTTTCATACGCCCCGTTGGCCTGGCGCTGCGCACATATATTATTTTTTCTGGCTTGTGTGGGCGTGTGTGTGTGGGCGTGGCGTGTGTACGTGTGCTTGTAAGCGCAATGTAAGCCAAGGCAAGCAGCAGCACATAAGCATAAGCAAAATTCTTGAATCGCAGAGAAACCACAACAAAAAATTGCCCAGGAATGCGTCTTTGAGAGACTCGAGCAGAGGGCAGAGCCTGGTCTGCGTTAATTTGGCAATATAATATGCTAGTTGAAGTTAATATATATGCATGCTTATGCATGCCTCCTTAAGCCCAAGTACCAAATATTATGACTGCCGCATTCTTTGGTACACGATATAAATATTCCCTTGTACAATATACATACATATATACATATATAAATGTGCGTGCCGCAACCTGAATGGCTCCAGCATAATTGCTGTGTCGGCCGGAATGCTCCATAAAAAGTTAACGAGTCGAAAGTTTATGACAAAATCGATGGCACTTTAAGCTTCTAATTACGAAAAGTCAACTCCAGGCCGGACAGTTAAGACAAAGTGCCAATCAATGTAACGCCCGTGCTACCTTCGCCCACCTCGTTTTGTGGCTGCAAAATTCGTGCCATCAACTTCTGTTCGCCCTTCAATTTGCACTGAAAGGGCCGAACAGCGTCGTGCTCTATAAATAATTATATATCAATATACATATATAGTCTTGTACTTTACATACAATTTTTCTACACTGTTATTTTTTTGAAAATATATATAATTACATTTATATGTAATTCCCATTGGAAAGTGGAGTATAAGACTTTCACATAAAGTATATGAGTGTTATGCCCATTAAAGTGTATAGGCATTCGTTTTAAGTACTTAAGAATCTTCTAAATTTAGCAGACGACTATATATAATTTACCCTGACTTTATTTCTTCCATCTGAATTGTAAATAGAACCAAGCTAAGTCTTATTTGCATATTCTACATGAGAGATATGAGATGAATATATATGTAGTCATGAGTAGTACTGAATACCTTCGAGGCATAAACTTAACCATTATTAATTTGCCTATACTTGAGGTGAGTTTGACAGATCTTAGCATCAGCCTTATTGCCATTCGAATTTGTTATCTTAACAACAGAATTGATTAAGGCCAATTAATAGGCCGCAATTTCAGAATGCCAAATGTCCGTATTATTCGGAAATAATGTTGCAATTATTGAATTAGATATTCACGCAGTCTGCATGCAATTGCCTAAATTAGTTATTGATTACGAGCAGGCCAAAAGCTCACACTTATTTAACATTTTTATTTTTTTTTTATAGTAGTTGGGAATTGTAATTGAAATTAGCCTGAAACTAGCCTTTGCTTGATTTAGTTACCATATGCCATGGAATGTAGTAATAAGTCAATAAGTAGATTTTTCTACGAATAATTAACTAACTTTGAGCATATTTTTATGAAGCCATTTCATTCCGAGTTGAAAGCCGATTATTGTTCAACTTGTATTGAGAATTTCTTAACATTCTGCTGCTGCTTCTGCAGCTGCGTTTTGTGCCTTGTTTTGCTCTATTGTCGAGTCATACCTTAAGAGCCTTTGCCTAAATATTTGCCAAGTGGCTTGTTTTGCAACAGACTTAGAAATGTTTTGTACCCCCCAGTAGCCAGTCAATTTGCAGTGCTCTGCTCACCTCACCTTGCCCACATTTACCTGGCTCTGCGTTGCGTTGCTCTGGTCTGCTCTGTTCCGAGTCGTTTGCATGTGACCTAAGAAGCTTTGCGCATCTTTGCCATTTAGCCCGCTTTGCACCTTTTAGCCCTTTTTGTATCACTGCACAATGTGGCGTATGAGCGATGCGGACAGATTTATGAACTTGCCAGCGACTCGAGTCGAGTCGAGTTGAGTCGAGTCTCATTTGCATGCAACTAGCCACAGCAAAGACGGCCCAAAGCCGAAAGCCGAAAGCCGAAAAACCAATAACATTTGCGTCGAGTCAAGTGTCTTGGCATGTAAATACTTTTGGCCCAAAAGAAATTGTCACTGCTTTCAAAATACAAAATTAAAATTTTGCCACACTGCGGCCGTATGTGTGTGTGTGTGTGTATGACTCGACTTCAAAGCAGCGGGAATGACGGGGCGCACAAAATGTAGCGGAAAGTTTGCGTTTTTGGGGCTGCAACAAAATTAAAATATGCCACAAAATGCCGCACGTCGAAGATGCCGAGCAACTGCAACTGCAGCTGCAGTCACAGAGCCTAGGATCTGTAAACCAGAACGTTGTGCCAAGAAAGGCAACCGCAGCAAAGACCTCAACGATGACGCACACACAGGGAGAGACAGAGTCTGTGTGTGTGGGTGTGGGTGTGGGTGTCTATGGCATGTGGGCGGCGGTGGGACGTGGACTTTGATGAACCCCGTTGCAACTTTTAGGTTGCATGCAGCGCCAGCAGCATTACAAATTTACACAAAGCGAACGAGGCGCGGCATGGCACGTGGCACGTGGCATAGAAGTCCTCGCCATCGTCATCAGCATCAGCATCAGCATGAGCATCATCGTCCTCCTTGTTGCTGTGCACTTTGTGGCATCAGCGGTGTTGATGATACGAACGAGGGCCAACTTTGCGCCAACAACGGACAGTGGCAAACTTTGCCCGCTTTTTAAGCAAAATTTATGAGCAAATGGAACCTAAGCTGTGCCAATTTTAAATCAACCAATAGTAATACTTTATGGCTCAAGAGATTTGCTTTGCATAATCAGTAAGCAGAAAAAAACTTTCAAATTATTCATTTATAATTGTGTTGTTTGTTTGCCCGATTTTTATAATGAACAAAATTTGCAAGGCTTCACAAACTTTTCAAGCTGCCTGCCATGGCAGCTTGTGACAGTTGGCACAAATAATTTAAAATAATTTTAAGCACTCATACATTTGCACATTATCTTTGCCTATAAGCCAAGCTCTAAATAGCAAGTTATATGGGAGTAAGCGAGATAGTAAGAATATTTCTGTTAAATGACAGATGTAAGAGAAGTGCAACAGGAGTGAAAGCTGCAGACAAAAGCGCTGAAGTAGAAGAGCGCTATAAATAGAACTGCGAGTGTGAACTGTAATCTGAGAGTGTTTTTGCAAGTGCTCGTGACTCAAGATTGAGTGACATTAGGTTATGCCAGGCCACAATTTGGTAATGTGTGTAGAGCAACAGAGCCTCGTGTCCATTAGTGCGCGAATCTAAAGAGAACAGAGAAGCCAATCATGCATGCATACATACATTGAAGTTGCAGCAACTGTATATGCTAGTGCTCGTGCCTGCTCGAGTGTGTATCTGTAGCGAGAGTAGACAAGCAAGGAAGAGTGATTGAAAGGGAGCGCAAGCTGTTGACAGAAATGCTGTGTAAAGAGCACGACATAAAGTTGAAGCGAATTATAAATGAAACAAAGAATGTGAACTTTGAGCTTTGAGCTTTTTGAGTTTACTTAGGTATGCGTTCGTGTATGCTCGTGTACGGATCAAATGAAGCGAGCCAATCATACCTGCATACATACATTCAAGTTGAACGTCTGTTGAGCGCGAGCGCATTTGTATGTATGTGCTTGCTTATATGTGTGGATCTGCAGCGAGAGTAAACAAAACAGGCAGGCATGCCTGTAAGAGAAGAGCATCGAAGTTGTGCATCAATGTGTGTGTGACATGCAAGCTACTGGAAGACCAGCGAGCTGTATAAATAGAGCTGCTCGTTGAGGTTGTAGTTTAGTAGAATCAGCAAGGCGAGCTGGTGAAGTTGTGGGGGAGGACCACAGTGGACGAAAGGGAGGCATACATATAAATATTGCTGCACACGAAATGCTTATGTAATATTAGAGCATTTCAAAAGTATACTCATACTAAAGCCAAGAATCGAAGCTTGTTTGTACAAGCACGGGATACTCCAAGCCCACAGTTGACATAGTCCTTCGGGCATCCAGGAATTCTAAACTGCACTGCATGCCTACATATGTGTATGTATATACACACTGTATGTATGTGACCTAAATGTGCGTAACTAACCGCAAGCTCAGGGAAGAGATAGCAGAATGTGTGGCGCGAGGATGGTGGACTAAGCCCTGGCAACTGATGCCACCTCAAGGTGCTTAGTTGGGCGAGGCTTCGCCATGGCAATGATGAGACTTCACGCGTCAGCGTTGCCATTTCCCTTTGTGGACGTTGCGGTGCCCCATTTGCAGGGTTCAGCTAAATCTTTGTAGGGATCCAACTATGTCCAATTGGGCGAGGCCAATTTAATGGTTGGTCCAGCGTTGAACATGATGATGCGAGATTTCAACATTGATGGGAATCGTTTCGCTAATAAATGGTATACAGAATTGAATCAAATCGACTTGTAGCGCTGTTTCCAGCCATTGATTGTCTGCATTTCGTCTGTCAGCAGTCAAGTAGAAATTATTCATGTGAATTTCATTTGCAGATTGACATCTCCTGTCGGAACACAAAGAACACTGTGAACGCGATATTGACGCGCACGAACTTCGTAACGCTGAAGTACGTGACCGATGGCTGGGGAACGGATGCGAACGGTTTCAAGTTGGTGATAACATCGGTGAAGGATCCCAGTAAGTGGGCGAGCGAGTCGCTTTGGCTGCTGATTAGTTATTAACAATTTGTGACTTTTGCCCATTTGCAATTTGCAATTTGCAGAGCATACGTGCAAGGACTTCACGTGCGCCACACGCGAATTCTGCATAAATCCGGATCTGTTGTGCGATGGCGTCAACCACTGCGGCGACAACTCAGACGAGTCCGTGCAGAACCTCTGCCAGAGTGAGTGACCAGGCCCAGTTGATAATAATTGAGACTCACCATTCCCACTTCCCTTCCAGATGAGACGACGAGCACCGTCTTTGGCGTGGACATGACCTGGTTCGTGCTGATTGTGGTCGGAGTGCTGCTGGTTCTCAGCGCGCTCATCGTGGCCATCGCGATCTGCGTGTGCCGGCGCCAGGACGAGAATGCCGCCAACCAGAACACCGCCCTGCAATGTAAGTGGAGGCGCCTCTACTTGGCCTAGCCTGCTTAATTTTATCCTTAACCAAATTGCAGTGCATCACAATGCCGAGACGAATGGATCGTCGAAGCATTTGCACTACCATGGCGTAGGCATGGGCATGGGCATTGGCGGCACCCTGACGAGGGAGCACACCCAGCTGCCACCGGCGTCGGGAAACTGGCATCACCCTGCGGGACCATACGGGTACCACCGCATTCCACACAGCTACTTGAAGATGGCCACCAAAGTCCGTCCCATTTGGTGCTTGGCAAATTCCGTCAATTAGGTCAAGATCTTTCGCAAAACTCAACCGGACTCAGCCAGACGAACATCGCCGTTGCTGGCAATCATCCGAATGCCAATGCCGCTGTCGGCGCCGCTCAAAAGGACGAGTGGTTCGTCTAGGACAATCCGAACTGAGGAGCTGTGAAAGTGAAAGACGCGAAAACAAAACCAACAAAACATAATTGACTTGAGCACAATAATCTGCACTTAATTAAGTGATTTCATGGATATTTGCAGAGCATTAAATGAAGTGCGTAATGGAGCCCCAAATTCTTATCAAATTTTCGATTTTAATTTCCCTTACCTCTAAATACTTTTTCAGGACTGTTTGACTATACTTAACAACAACAACAACAACAATGTGGACATCACCGCGCAGGGTGTATATTTAAGAGATCTACTCGTACCCAGACAGAATCTCGACAGCATTGGGCAATTTGTGCCTTCAACGAGGCACAATCTTGTCGGATATCCAATGCAATTGTACATAGCTTATATATAAATATAATTACACACATATATATATACAAATATATATATGAAATTAATTTAAATTAATTTACAATTAATACAAATAGCTAAAAATCCCGATACCGAAAATAAACCAAACCAAACCAAGCAAATGGCATCAACTAGAGATAAAGAATATTTTAGAACATATGTTAGAGATAAACCGCAGATCGGAGCAGGATGGAAGCCGACAGCTTCCCCATAGCGTCGAGTCCTTGGCAATTCCTTAATTACAGCTATGTAACATAATTGTTGGCATTTCTCAAAAGAGTATTCCATTCGTTTGTCGCGATTATTTTTATGATTAATTCTCGATGATGATTCCAAGCGAACCGTGAGTAAGCATCAGCAATGAATAAAACAATCGATGGCATTTAAAACCAAACTTTTAAATCAGCTTCCCCGTAGCTGTTGAAAGTATTGAAGCTCAATATGAAGAGGTTTAGCTGGTCTAACTTTCAACTAACATGCGAATGATAGACATACATATACATATATATGATTTTAATAGAGACGACGAATTCTAAATATAACTAATATGGACACAAAAACAACAACAACAAAAACATGAACAAGGGATGTACATAAGTAGTAGACAATATTAAAACAAAAAGTAAAAAAAAAGAAAAAAAAAATGGAAAACTAAATAACTTCTGAAACTCAATTTGCATAGTTCATTGTCATTGTCTATAAACTGGAGCATATATTAACAACAGATCTGAGAATATGAGAATATATGCTCGTCATCAAATCAACATTAAATAGATTTCATCATTCCATTCGATTCGAAGGAACCACAACCAAATGCTAAATGACAAATTTTTGAGACATGAAAGGACAATACAAAACACAATTTTGCTCTTTTTGATGAAACATTTAAATACATTTTGAGGTCATGAATACTGAAAGCAAGAGAGTCCGCATACATTTTTCTACAATCAACTTAATGTAAAAACGAAAACGAAAAACCAAAATGAAAACAAAAATAAAAGAAAACCAAATTACATTTTGCTACAAGTCGAACAAATACGATTATATTAACTAAAACAAAAACATGGATTAAATAAACGCAAGAAAGAATGGAATAAAAGCAAAACTTACTAAATCAAATGCTTCAAGTTACGATTGTAGTACTTCCCGCCGTTAATATTTTTTAAAGTACATATTAAAGTTGAATAATAATAACAGTAATACTAACAAATACAAATGTTTAAACAATTACAAGAAGCCAGCTGCTTACGATTCGTCTTTCAAAATACTTCCATAGGACAGTTGAATCTTTATTTCCCTTACTAACTGAGAGAGCAAAAAATAAAAAATAAACAAGAAGAAAATAATAATTTTAATTCATTTTTTGCTATAAAAATAAACGTACCTACACACACAAGAAAGTTAAAGTAAATAATAACCGAAATCATCTAGGCGTTTGTAAAAAATATAAAAGCTAGCTGCGAAATAATGAATAATACACACATATGTTCCAGAAACCTAGAAGAACCTATAACCATATGATATATATATAGTATATGTACGATAAATATGAATTTGTCTTCTCTTGAAATTATATAAGAAAAATTCGATTCTTGATTTTCAGATTTCATATTCTTTTGCTTTGAGTCATTCCAATAACTTTTCGAATGCTTTGTACTCCCTTTCTAGTTTTCTATTTGCAAAATAATATAGGTATATTATAAAAGAAAGAAAGAAGAAAAAAACAAACAAGCAACTTCATACAAATATTTATCGTGAATTATAGGAAGATGGTATTATGATAACATGAATTTTTAACCAAAATTATTAATGAAATTGTATTAGGCGTCAAATTTTAGAAAAGAAACCAAGAAATAATTCCAAGATATAACTTAAAGAGAAACAAATACTTAAAGTAACAACAAATTAATCTAAATTATTAAACAAATGACAACATTAATCGTAAAATTGTTTTATATGCAGAAACTAATTTATGCAATACAGGAATATAAATTACTAAATGAAAATGAAAAACAAATTAAGCAAATTATGCCCGAATGAGATATCTGTAACGATTGTGTCGTATATGAATGTAGCTAAAATATACAAAAAAAAAAAAAAAAAAACAAAAAAAAAACAAAAAAAACCAACAAAATACAATTTAATCCAATTAGCGAAAATTGTGCGAATACTAATAATATCTTTCCCCAGGAGATCGTAACTGCTTAATGAGAACAAATGAGAATTATGATTGCAAAGGTGGATCAAACACGAAAGATGCTCGCAATAGAGCACCCAATAACAATTCCCCAAAAGAAAAAAAAAAGAAAAAAATCAATAAATAATTTAAAATGTTTGTGAACTTTTCCCATTTTTTTACAATTTGTAAATGTTCAAAATGTGTTAAATATATTTTCTAAACTCTCTTTCTCATACATTCTATCTATCTATCTCTTACTGTCTCTCTCTATATCTCTCTATTGAAAAGACTTTGCTACAAAGAGTTAAACTTTACGTATGTTTGCATGTATGAATGTATGAATATGTATGTATGTTCTTAGCTATTAAACTTAAATAAAAAACTCCCAATGTTTTATCTGGCATACCTAAGAACAGAAAGATATTATTCAATATTATTCAATTAAGTTTTTGATTTTTATTCATACTATCAAATCTGTAATATTGATCCATTCATCAAATAGTGTGCACTTGTATATCGTATATCGTATATGATATATTGAATATCGTATATTGAATATCGTAGATCATAAATGGTATACCATATATCGTACATAATATATCCTACTTCTTATATCGTATTTCACATGTGATTTATCGAATACTGAATATCGTACACCGTACGCCGTATATCGTATACCTTATTTAATTTTTAAAACTTGGTTGATTTGTAATAAACAGATGAGAACCGAACTAACCACGACCAGTTCGACTAGGATCGAATCAACTGATCCGCGAGCGCAACTAAATAGGGTATAATACGATAAGGTCATGCATATAAGAAAATTATAGTGGAATATGTTAGACGCAATTTAGATGTAGTCAGTCGTAGGCGTAGGCGTAGGAGTGTGTGCATATGGGTTTTTATACCAAAAGATAGTACCATTTGAATGTACTTATTGTAAGTATGGTTTTTATATCGGAATTCGCTGAATACGCCGGATACCACAATTCATCATAGACTTGCGCTATACAAACATACATACATATATGCGTATCTACATATGGTCAGTCAGTCATGTGCATAGGAACTTAGCTGAGATCGAATATCGTATTTTGTACGCACCAGAGAAAATCGTAACCTAAATGAAACTCAAATAATATAAACAAACAATAAGATCGATCGCATTAAGTAAAGTGCTTGGCTTTGTGTTAAATCGCTGTTGAATGTAAATGTACAATGGATATTAAATTATGATGGCATTGAATTACATTTCAAGAACAATAGAAATCCAAATTCAAAACAGAACTAATGATAATGAAATAAACAATACAACAAATTTCAATTGCATGTTTTATTTGAATCCGATTCCAGTTCCAGCGACCATACAATAAATGCCAATTTGATCATCAGAATATGTAATATATATTCAGGACATGTGAAAGGCTCTCCAGATTTGTATATATGTGATTGGGTTAGGCATTGATTTCCTCAATAGTCTCCTCTTCAATAATAGGCAAACCTCTATGTGTCGCCTTTGGCGAATCATCTTTCTCGGCTTTCGCGGCTAGCTCGTCCTTCTCCATCTTCTCCAGCTGCAGTCGCTTGCAACGCTTCTGGGCCAGGGCATTCAGCACCGAGACCACAAAGTAGAAGGCAATGAACAGGGCCAGCAGCTGGAAGAGATGCGTCACTATACCGAACCCAGTGTACGCGGCGTCGCTTTCTCGCTTGCCTTCGCTCATCTTGTGGTGCATGCGCTGCTTGGTGGAGGTCAACAGGTTGTGGAGGGGTGCCTGGATTTTGGAGCCAATGAAGGGCACCTGGCCGAGCGCCTTGACCAGAACACCAATCAGATCCTCGCTGAATGCCACAATCACAATCAGCTGCTGAATGTTGGACTTGAACACCGCCTTCCCGATCAGCGTGGCCACAAAGAACTTCCAGAAGGGCACCAGGAAATGGCCGCAGGCCACTCCAGCTAGATCGAAGAGCGGATTCGGCACGCTGGCACACAGCAGAATGCCAAAGAATCCGATGCGCAGCACCACGCGCTCCACTAGGAGTTTGCTCTTGTCAAATAAAGTCAGACGCCTAGACTTCTCCGGCGGACCCTCCTCCTGCTGCAGAGACTTGCCGGAGAGGCGCGCCGCCCTGGCCATGAAGTAGGGCGGCAGTTCGCCCAGAGCTGTGCCCACGCCCCAGAACATGGTCTCGGTGCGCACCTTTGACAAGATCTGCCAGATGTTGGGCATTTTACGTATGTACGGCTCCTGTGGACATATCTTCTGATCCGGATACGGCGGCGCCGGAAAGTCCAGTGAGTGGCATTCGTAGGCGGCCAGAGTAACGGCAGCCAGATGCGGTCCCAGATACAACAGAAATGTGTGCAGCCCGGTGCCAAAGCCCACCGAGGACAACAGGCCCAGGCCCATCCAGTAAACGATAAAGCCGAGATTTTGACGACCCATCTCCATATAGGATGCATGCGGTCCTGGTAATTTATAGATAATCACCAAGGCCAGCAGGCTGCCCAAGAAACGGCGGTTCAAGAGACGTGATCCAAGGCCAATCAACATGCCAAACAACTCTAGGATGCTGTACTGCAGAGTTCTCAATGGTCGCCGCCAAACCACCAAAGACTTGCGCTCCAAGCAATCCTTCTCACGGACTGCGTCTTTCGCGGCGGAGCTAGCTAAGCAAGCCTCAGCATTGGAAGACATCCTTCTTCTCATCTCAATAAAAGTACAAAAGCAAATGTTTGTTAATATTGTAATTTCTTTCTAACGACTGGACGAGCCCGTATTGTAATACATATATGACAAAGACAACCAAATGGGTCTTAATTACATTTTTTTCGTCTGATTTAGTTGTCAAATTGTAGAATTATTAAAAGAAAGCAATGTGAAGCGAGTCTCAGTATTTAAGTGTCGAGAAATTCTTTTAGCTCAACTAATTTTAAATTATTTTCAGAAATATTGTATTGCCAGATTGAAATATATCGCGAAGGGATCTAAAATTTTATTTTACATTTACATAGCATTTTTAGTTTGATATATTTGTCAAAATGTAGAAATTGAGGTAAAATTAATATTGCAGCAATTCAAAGTTTTGTTTTTCAACTCTCTACGCTTCTGTAACATAAGCTGCAGCTTTACATTCATCTTTACAGCTCTTGACTAGCATAACATACGCTAGTCTTTTGATTAACAGTCATTCTGCAAGTTAACATTTCAGTTTCTTTTCGTTCATAACAGAACTGTTGCCCCTCCAGATATGCAATGAAATATTGAAATTGTACTATGAACTTATATTAAAGGAATTTATTTATAAAAATTACTGGGATCTAATACTCTTCATATTTATTCAATATAACATTTGATATTTTATTAGTTATTAATCATATCATATCCTATTGAACAAAGTAAATATAAGGAATATTATATATATCTATATATTTATAATGTTTATTATATTAATTGTGTCTGTCATCGATTAGTTCCTGCGCCGAGAAATCCAATTGCTTTGCAGCATCTGGGTAATTGAATGCTTTTGCCTGCCACAGGGTCATAGGTCCCGGAGGTTGAAGTTTTAAGCGGCTCTTGGCAGCGTCATCCTCACAAGCAAGTCTGTATGCGCTAATTTGCGTTATAAACCTATCAAGTTCTTTTTTATCAACATCGCTGATAACATTTGCCTGCAAGCTTTCCAGCAATCGAGCACTGTGCGAAAATACAATCGAATTACGCATATGATTAAAGTGATTGTTTGCATGACCTACATATTCATAAAGTGGACCTTCTCAAGGCGCAGTGTATTCACCAGCGCAAGTAAGTGGCGCAAGGGGAAAAGATTATTGCGTGACCGCGTATCTCCGGATTCTGTACGTAGCGCAGCCAACCTATTCACTAATAGCTCCAGAGAGGCATTGAATACGTGTAACCTTAGCAACCACGCGTCCTTTGCACTAGAATTAGCCTCCACAAGGCGCATGTGGGCAGTCAGGGCAGCTGTGAAGCGATTATTGTTGCGAGAGGAATTGTTAATGTGCAGCTGGATGACAGTCAGGTTATGAGCGTATGTAACAATATGTCTCTTTAAAAGCACTAATATAAGCTGTTCCAGTTCTCGGGTTATATAATCAGGCGATGTTTTGACCTGCAAAAGATCAAATTGTTAAGTTTCCACGATTTTGCCGAACTCGATATCTACTCTCACAATTTTGTACTGCAATAGAAGTTTCCACACGCGATATGTTGGCAATACAATTAGCTCATTTTCATGAAGCTGGCGGAAGAGTAAGTGCATCTCCTGAACGTAGCTCAAGGCTAGTGTATCACTGCGTGCATTAAGTGCGAGCGTCACATCCGAGAGGCCCGCCGACAACGTATCATAGGTGAGCGCATTCAAAGTCAGATTACTCGACAATCCCAAGTGCAGCACAACAATGGCACAGAACAGAGATTTCGCCTGTGGCAGATTCTGCGACAAGTTGGACAGCTTGCGTACACAGTCGTCGCGTAGCACTTCAGCCAGCTGCACGGACCTCGCAATATGCTCGTGCGCATCCTCCAGATCATCGCTCTCGCAATGCAGCAGTATGAGCATCAATGCCAAGCACTCGTAGCCATAAAGGGCTGCAAGGATTTTCGAATGTACTACAATATAATAAATATATAACAAATTATCCATATATTAACACACCTAAATGCTCATTGGCAACATTTTCACGCAACATCTGGCTAGCTAGTGTTTCGTACATATCGCATACCTGATGGCCGCGCAGCTTGTTCTCTTTGATCATAGAATAAAGGCAGCGTACGCACGTGCCATAGTCTTGTAGCAGTTCCGGCTGAGGGCTCTCCAGTTGGCGACCCATCATTTCGATGGTTATCTCTGCATATCTGTCTTGCAAAGCTAGCGCCGCAGCTACCAGCATTTGCTCATTCCCTGTGACTTTTATCGACTGACTTAATTTTGTAAAGAGGATTGCGAATTCAGCTTCGCTAAGCGTATCATCGTTCAGGAATATGTTTAGGCAGTGTTTCTCCAATGCGATCAGCTTTTCAAGAAAATAAAAAATTATTTATACCGAATGCAGTCATTATCCAAGCCACTTACTCTCGATTTGTGTTCTGTCAGAACAGTAAAGTCCACCATGCTATAGATGCCGTAGATTATGGCACGAATCTCCATATTTTGGGCAGATTCCGTCACGAGTTTTGGCCAGTGGTGCAGCAGGTTGTGCACCTGCTGCCGTGAAAGTTCCATTTCGATATATTGCTCTGTGTGATGCTCGAACAATGCGCATGTAGCATGTGCAGTCAAAAGGAGGATCTCTTCACGCACATTTTCAGCATTAAGCACTTTCATATAATACTTAAAGTATTGCAGAGCTGGAAAGAAGTCCATCAGCTTTAGCAGATAGTTCTTTATGAGCGCCATAAACTGATCATGACTGGAAAACTTTCCTGCAATACTCTGAGATTTTACAAAAGTTTCCAGTATGTGCATAAATATGTCCTGCTTGGAATATTGGCGTGAAGCCAATGTCACATAAAGCTCGGCTGCCGCTGTGCATACCGAAAGCGTAGCATTTGGTACTTCAAGCAAAACCAGCAAAAGTTGCTCCAGAAAGCGACGCGAGAATACATCTGTGCTGACCAAGTGACTAAACATGAAGGTACGTTAGTGGGTGTGTGGGCAAACTAGGAATAATCAAGCTACCGCTGCAGTGTATCCAAATAGCGTAGCGTTGCTAACAGCAAAGGATTGCTGTTTTTCACTTTGAGCATTTCAAATTGAATTGCCAGAAACTTGTTCATGATCAGTTCATTGGTAAGCAATCTCAAAATAAGATTGCCCGAGGCATCGCATTGCTTTCCCTCAGCGAAGTAATTAAGCATCGATTCCAAAAACTGGTAAGTCTGAATGTAAGTGTCCTTGTTTGACATCTGCAATGGGGAAATACAATTGGTTAGTTTCACATTAATAAATATTCAAATATATGTAATTCCGTAGAATTTCACCTCACAACAAAACACCCAGTAGACAAAGTTAACAGCCGATTTGGTTGACCCAAAGAAGAGCTGGAAATGTTCCTTAAACAGGCCCATCATAGACGGCAGTATCATTTGGCACGCCTCCGTGAAGCTGTTAGAAAATTGCTGTTAAAAAACAATAGATTTCACAGCCAGCCATCAAACTTACAATATACTATAGCGTACTAGCACCGTGAGACATAGACAATTCTCTTCAAGCAATTCGTACTTTTTCCCATAGTCGGGCAACAGCTTCACAAGGCCTTGCAGTATGCAGAAAGACATTCTGGCTAGGGGCTCGCATAGATATCGTACGATATCCTTCTGCTGCAATTTTCCAGTTATACTGCGGACCACCAATGCCCAAACGTGCACCACACGCAAGTAACATAGCACAGGATTAGTTATGTCATAGAACTCTCCGCCCAACTGCGAACTGGGCCTCTCCTGCGAAAGTGAGCGTTCACAGTCTGCCAACGATATTGGCAGTTGGTTGAAAAATAATTCCACGTTCTTCAGTACAAAGGGCACGGCATTAAAAATGTAATTTAGGTTGTCCGCACTGTACGGATGATCATAGGTGCGCTGGAATGCCTCGACGCTGACGTTGAACTGTAATCCCAAAGCTCTGAAGCATTGACCGACAAAGTTATGCGACACTTCGTTTAGCCAATTCTTTGGATCGTTGGCAACAGCCTGCATAAAGGCGAACATGTACTCCGATGTGGCATACTGAAAAGCAGATAACTGAATTATTTTGTAATCATAGTAATATTAACTCACATCTACACTGGCGCCCGTCGATAAAGCAGTCAAGAAATCCATTTTTGATATAACACAAAAACTATTTTTGTTTTTGTCAAACCAAAGAAGAAAACTAAATGCCTAAACGTGATGCGTCCCCACCGAAAATCCGTTAGCTTATCTAATGGCGGCAAAGCTGCGATAGGCCATGCAAATCAAAGTACTGCGATAGTCGATAACTTGCTGATAAGTATCGCAAATGAGTCAGAAAAAAACTATCCAACAGCAACAAGTTTTTCTTCTGGACTTTATTTTATAAGCTTTCTGTGTACAATTAAATTTCATCTTATTTTTCTATTTTGCACTTCACTTAATCAGATCTCACGAAATGACGTAATAACCTTGTTCATTAAATGAAATTATCATTAATGGACATTCATATAATCGAAAGGCAATACTCCACAGAATATTCTAAATTACCCGTTAAAATTGTTTAGTTAAATACAAATATATTAATGCATATATAACTGAGGAAATATATATGTGCTGTCTTAAAATATTCTTAAATGCTTATAAGGTCTGCTCACTTTATTTCAACTTATTTTTTATTACCGCAAAAACCACACAGCATTTTATATTGAAAAGCTGGTCGACAAGTTATAAATATCTTTCCCATATACACTATACCATATACAGTCACTAACAGTTTAGAATTCTTTATAATTCTTTAACTTATATTACATAGATACATGTAATTATAGTTTTTGATTAAATTGTTCATTTTGCTTTACAGCGAATTCATCGAATACATTACTTTTTATGAGATTTCCGTTAATCTGTATATTTTTAAGCTTTTAGTGTACATACATCGTTGCTGATCTCATGAATATGCTTTATATATATCTTTATATCACTAAATGTACATATTTACAGAAAAAAATGTTATGAAATGCAACCTAAAGAATAAATGAAATGAGTGTTAATTACAATTTCAACTAATCTTTTCACTGTCAACCAAATCAATAGCTTAAATTAGCTAATTTTGTCACATTTTCGTAAGTTAAGAACAACAAGTTCCCAAATGCGTTCAACCAAATGCAATTAAAATATTGATATTGACTTGGACACTCAGTTGAGTACAGGAAATGCAAGAAATAGAAAAGCATTTTAGGGACTAGAGGATGCATATAGCTTCAACAAAAGCTTATTTTAAATTGCAAATACTTTAAATGCGCATCTTCATATAAAGAATCATGCAAATTTTCGTGACTATTACCCTACATAAGCTTGGAGGTCCTTGTCGGCTATTAGATAGTCGTGATGCAACAGGCACTTAAGTGACTACTCCCTGGATTGATTTCATTTCAATTGTTTGCCTATTATAAAATATATGTTTTTGGTTTCAATGCTAAATACATCTTGTACATGATGTCTCTTGATCTGCGATGGGATGCTAATATTTCTTCAATTGCTCGTACGTGATGAAAAAGATGATGTTCCAAGGACCCATTCGCACCCAAGTGGGTATGAAGCCCTTGTATAACGCGAAAAGTCCCTCGTTTCGAATCGTCTGCACAGCACAGTCCAGACTTCCATTGTACAGTTTCGGTGTTGGGGCAGCTGCCGTGGCTATGCCACCACTCAGCATTGTCACGTGCCTTTGATTCATGAGGCGTGTCTGTTGAGCAAGGGGGAATCTAAATGACCTTCTTTGGTACTGGATGGTTGTCAGACTTACCCGAATAACGTCTATTGGCGTCGAGGCAACGGCGCTGCCCAAGCTAGCAATAAAGCTCGAACTGTGAATGAAAAAGAGAGTTGTTAATTTGTTTATCTAATTTCAATCGCACTTACATAAAATGATTAGCGACGTGATCACCAAAGGCGCTCATTAGCTGCAGCTTGCAAAAGTCATAGACGGGCAGCTCAACAGATGCTATGACCACTGCCCGCTGCGCCGTGGGCCCCACACCTCGCCACAGTCCACGCACGCCCTCATATTTGTAGATCTCCCGGAAGCAGCCGAACAGACCCAGTGCATCGGTGCCCTTGCCGTGCACCTGCATACGCACCTTGAGCACATCGGTAGGATTCGCTATAGCAGATGAGATAGCACCGGCTGACGCCGCACAAATGATGTTGCTCCAAACACGTTCACTGCCGTCGTTATTCGTCAGCAAACCACGTTCGTTAGCCAGCTTCTTGAGGGTATAATAGCTGCCGAATTTGATAGTGCCGTATGTGGCTTGCCTCAGCACTGCGGGCCAAATGCTGCAAGACAATATAACTGTTTAGCCTAGCTGATATCTCTGGCTATCACAAAATCATATATACATATACACCATAGAAAACAAAGTCTAAGGGGTTACTGCTATGCTTATCAAGCGGCCAGGGCCAAAGTTTCGTGTGATGTACACTTGATGGATTATAACACGAGACGTTTTTTTATGGTTCAGTATACAGCGAGACAGTTGTTATCACTACGCTCACACATACACATACACACACAAATGCATGTAATTAAGTGCACAATTTGCACGTTATTGGGTCACTTGAATGCATTTGGCAATTGTGAGTGCAGTAAATCTCACCCAGAATATAATGCGCGCAGTCCCTCCTCCCTTGATATTTTGACAAACGCATCGGTCATGCCACGGTATCGCAACTGCGAGAAGCTCTGGTCGATTTTCTGCCCTTGAATTTGAAGACGGGTCTTTGTGGTGTCAATGGGAAACGTGCCTATATAAAAATAGACATGTGCGTGCACATGAGACCAATGTTTGTTTACACCAATATTTGTTGTCTCTGTTTGTAGCCACAGCCACACTCTGGTTGTAGCCACAGCATAGCATACTTACCGAATTCGGCTGTTATGGATGCTAGACCGCCATAAACAAACGGCCGCCAGTCCTTGACTTCACCCATGACCACAGCAGCAATTGCACCTGTTGCAATTATTTGGTGACGGCTCTTTAAATTATAAAAAAAAAAAAAATACAATATCACGCAACAAACATGCCGTATTCGCGGAAAATTACACAGAGGTCGGACAGTTATGCGATTAGTTATACGATAGTATCGATATCTCGGAACCTTGTGCAATTATTTTATTTATCGATACTTATCATTTTACACACTGCTACAAAACATTTGAATGAAACATGCAGCGGGAAATTTCAAAAAGAAGCAACGGTTTTTTCCTATGGAATATGGTGAAATGATATTAGTTATCAAAATGAAGGGCAACCTAATTTAAATAAGTAATACAACATAAATCAGTAAACAAAATCAGCATACAATACTATTTATATGCTATAATATAATAATTTATAAATAATATCAGCATACAATACTATTTATATGCTATAAAATAATAATTTATAAATAATACAAATTCGTCTTTAAATACAATCTGAATGCTATCACAGCTGAAAATTTCAGTTTTACTGTGTAGGTACATTTAATCAATACAATTATGTATAATATAAATATCTGATTACTTGTATTCAAATTTTTTTAGTTTTTGACAGTCTATGCTAATCGAGCCAGTTAGGGTATTTGTTGAGTTGTTAGGGTATTTCACATTGTTCTTGAATTGTTGTATGCCGCGATATAAGTTGGGCACATTTTGGATACGTAGTCGGCCACAACAGAATTTTAAATGATCTGAATACACAGCTTTTCGAGATCTCAAAGCTGTTTAAGCAAACTATTTGACATTTCTGAAAACACCCCCACCAAACAANAAATAATATATAACAATAAAAATATTCTCTAATATCATTAAATGCTTTTGCTTATAAAAATTAATTTTGTTACAACTAATCGAATAATAATAGTTGTTTACTGTTCTATGGTGGCTCTTGCATGATACAACATCAAAATTGCAATCCATGTGTGCATAAATGAGTATGTGTGAGTGCAGCAGTCTATAGATCTGGTAGCTCGACCGATAAGAAAGCGCAATCGATTTCCCATTCTACTTCCGAGTGTACTTTTTTTCGGCGAATAACCGTTTTTGAGTAAGTCTTTTGTTAACGCAGCATAATGATTTTCGAGACTGCCATTGAGAAAGTCATTGAAAAGATCAGCTTTTCGGAGCAGGATTACCAGACCTGCATCAGCGATGTGAAATACATAGTAGATGCGCTGAACGCGGCTTCAAAAAATAAATCCACATTTTTCAGCAACATTTTCGCCGAACTGGGAAGCACAGGTATGGGGTGCGCGTGTTGTATAACCTTAGCAATATAAGTTACATAAGTGAAATCCGTTACAGTGACATTTATGAAAGGCAACGCCATCGATTCGATGCCCGACTTCAATTACTTTCTGCCCTTCAAGATGCCACTGAAAATGAAGCCAATCTTTTATTATTTTAATCGCAAAAACTTGCTGCGTCTTAAGAGCAAGGAGAAGCACGCCCTTGTCGAAGATGGCTTCGTCTCGGCTGAGTATTTCCACGTTCTGCTGAGCAAGCACGTTAAGAGCGTAATCGAGGAGACGAAGACCATTGAGTGCGCCGGCAGAATCTATGAATTGACCTGGTACATTCGCAAGATGGGCAATCAGATCTTTGCGCACAACATCAAGGCGGTCCAGGTGAATGCAGACGAGCAGGATCCGATAATAATTACATTTGATTTTGTGCCCGTCTTCAAATTTCTGATGTACGAGACTCCGCTGCCCAATAATGTGGCCGACAATGTGGAGGGTGCTCGCTACTGGATTATCTGCAGTGCCTTCATACAGGATGAGATTTCAATATTCTCCAAGGTCACCCCATACTGGCAGATGCTGAAGCCTGCTCAGAAGGACAAGGCTAGAAACACAGTGCGTCTGATTAAGGCTATAGCCAAAAAGCACAATGAGGAGCACTTTCTGGAGGTTTGCAGCTCCAAAAGCGAAATATTCTGGCGTGTTCAGGAGCTCGGAGAGGCCTACGACAACTATACTCAACCGATTTTTTTCCTGGATGTGTGTAGCCAGCCAACTGAAACCTAACGGTCCTATCCCAATATTTGATCATTTCCTCCATTTCAGATATACGCTCGTATCATCAATAATATTTTTACCAAGTTCAGCCCTTTTCTGAATTTGTCCAAGACTTTCAAGTTTCTGAAGCCGTTCGATGATGTCCTACACCTAAATGAGTTTTTGAAGACCCTTCAGTGGAATCGGGACATCGACCTTAATGAAGTGCTCCCAATTTTTGGCCTGCCCATCGAAATATGATTACAAATTTTCGTTTATTTTTATGCTGATGTCTTAACTTCAGTTTTCAGTTTATTTTTATGTATTTATGAATAGATGGTTTAGATACCATAAACAAAGTAGAAATCAAAACAAACTACGTCGTGCATTCGAATTTGGCATGCAAATTTTATCATATCACAGCAAATAAAATGGAATTTAAAAACAAAGCAAAAAAAAAGAAAATAAATGGGTATTCCTAAGGCTCGTCTGCTTCGATCTGCACAAATCTGGGTTCTCCGTCCGTAACCTTGCCTTTGTGTAGCTCCGTTTAGTTGACAAATCTGACCAATTAAAATTGTATTTGTATTTCTTTATGCAGAGATTTTTATTGGGGATTAGGCTTGTATACATATATGTATGTATTTTGGGTTATCCACGTCATTCATTTTAAATTCAATCGCCAGCCGGATCGTGAAAGTCGACGGCGTCACTGTGGCGTCAGAAAGTCGCCGGCATTTCGGACTAGTTCGACTATGCTTAATAAAGAGGCGAGCGGTACGAGCGGGATCGGATGCTGCTGCTCTGCTGCCGCTTGGGTTAAACCCGAATCAAGATACACGATTCGAACGGAGACTGCTATTTGCCAAAAAAGAAACAACAGAGCAAGAATTGGATGAAATAATAATTGATTGGCTCAATATCGCGTGGTTAAAATATAATTTAATTTTCATTAGTTTACAGTTAATTTAGCCTATAATAATATTCCAAGCGTCTGCCATCCAATTCGTCAGCCGCTAAGTGATTTTTGCCAGTGGAGCGTTCAGGTACTAAAACGCAACGCGTGGGACGGAACACAGACGAGAGATACAGACATCAGCCACTGTGTGCGAAATTGATTAACAAATTCAATCCACCGTGTTAGGCTAATTTGGCCAGAGCAAGAGTACTCCATTCCCAGACTTACGATATTTTCAAAGTGGTGCCAAACCCTTAAGACTATCTATCTATCCATATCTATTTGGTGACGTTGCTTTTCTTTTGTTTTGTGCCCAAATTTGAGCCCTTTTGTTCCTCGCTAGACGTGGAAACGCAGCAGCTGTTGTCTAAGAACAAGTGCCGAGAGCTTTTAATGTCCTCCAACACTTCCTCAGAGGAGAGATGAGAGACCAACGACTCGTGGCTTGGCGCAGGGTGTCCCGATGACCCATTGTTTCTGCCAGAGGCGATGGACTGCCAGCTCCCGCCAGCAGCTGCAATCGCACAGCTCCCGTCACAATCTACGGGGCAAGTGCATTGGAAAGCATCGGAGTGCATGTCCTTCTTCGGTTGTCTTTTTCTGTTTAGCACCGGCAGTATATCTTCCGCATGACTTCTGGCAAAGTAGTGATGATTGTGCTCCTCAACGAGGCCCAGACGCGTTGCGATACCTAGCAGCGTTTGAATCTTTTCCTTGAAGGCCTTTGGATCGGTGACGGACATGTTGGAGTAATGGACCAGGTGATCCACTGAAACAGGTTCGTTGATTTTCTTTAAGCACTGAACCAGCTGCTTAATGATAGTATTCAGTGGTTGATTGGACATTATAAAAATATTGTTTTTTTTTTTTCTATTTTTCGATTTTTATAAAACTAGAAAATAAAACACGTTACTGGGCTGTACCTACAATGAAACTGAAATGAAATGTGTTTATTTTAGGCTAGACTCGAACTCTCGAGTCTGCTTTAAGAGTTTGAGTTTTAAATTAAGGCTCACTACGATGGATGTAACTCGATAGGCTTTTCGATAACAGATACGGCACAAGAGCTAGATCGTAGCACTAACCAGAGAACACATAGACACTAACCAGAGAACACATAGACTAGACATCTAGAACAAATTTTTTCACCGACGAAAAAATGCGCTGAGGAGACTACACAACTTCGTATTTGCTCGGCTCAGTCTCTTGAGGCTCAAGCAGTGAAAATATTGCACGACAAAATCAGTGTGCTGCAAGCGCTCAAACGAAATGGTGCCATTCTTATATGAAGCACGGCTATGCGCTATTTGTCCTACTCTCTCTCTCTCNGAGAGAGAGAGAGTAGGACAAATAGCGCATAGCCGTGCTTCATATAAGAATGGCACCATTTCGTTTGAGCGCTTGCAGCACACTGATTTTGTCGTGCAATATTTTCACTGCTTGAGCCTCAAGAGACTGAGCCGAGCAAATACGAAGTTGTGTAGTCTCCTCAGCGCATTTTTTCGTCGGTGAAAAAATTWGWTCTAGATGTCTAGTCTATGTGTTCTCTGGTTAGTGATCGTAGGGCTTTAAATCAATTGAATCGAAATTGAAATCGCAATTTGCAATTCAAAATTTAAATTTAAGTTCTTCGATAACTCAAAGTTCATTTTTCCAAACCACTTTCAGCTCTACTACATCAGAACTAGTTCAGATTGCATTGAAGCTTCTAGAAATTGAGAACTTTTCTTAGATTTGATTGCTAAAATATTTTATTGATGACATACCATGCGATCGTGTACATATCAACTGGAAATGAATTTATGATATTACTATGCCAGAAAATAAGAATAATAACTATAAAAACAAAACAAAAAATTGTCGAATTCTCAGAATTTATCGTGGCGTCTCCGAGACGGAGCTCGCGTCAAAAATTCCTGCATAATTAGACACAAATCGCAGTCAAAATGCTGCGTTCACATTTCGACCGGGAAATAGATTCTATAGACCGGACCGGTCTGGACGGTAGCGACGTCGGCGACGTGTAATAAAAACTTCACGCAACGCTCCATCAAGCGATTAGCACATGGCAGAGGCTGGAGCCTAACACTGAGACGACAATGGAGGCGGATGGAGGACAGATGGAGATGGAAGTGGAAATGGAGACCCAGACGAGAGCCTAGCAACGGCGACTGATAAACAAAACCCCTCAATATCAGTTGATGGATTATTGTCAATTTCTTTGGCGCCAGACTTTTAGCTTCTGCTCGCATGATTTTTGTATGCGGATTTCATAGCTCGGGATTTTTCGCTAAACCAAGCGTTAAATATGCAAATTGAAGTTAAATTTATTAATGAAGCTTGCAACGAAATGACTAAAGAAATTTCTTTCCCTATCACTCGGTTCCCAAACAATTCTTGGGAATACCTAAACAAAATGTTGATCTTCATATAACAGCCAAAAAAGGGAAAAACAAACAACAAAAATTAAAACAAAATAAAGTTTTAATATCTTTAGCTAAAAGCTTTCAATTTATTTGTTTTCATTTGGAAATGGATGGGTGGCTAGATAATCGTATCATATATATGTAGCTATAATATACCTTTAAAAGATATTTCAATTTATTTGGCTGAAAAATCTGGTGGGAACATTGCAGCCGGCAGTTAATTCTAATTAAATTTTATTTTTTCGAATCTGTTAAATTATGCAAATTTTAAATCTAGTTGGAGAGTAGGTCAACCTTTCAAATCTATATCAAAAACTGCTGAGTCTACATTTTTTCTATTTGCCACACTCCCAAAACTGAATCTATGGAAAATATTCAGAAATCTGTAGAATCTATGTTTTCATAACGATGTGTCTCATCCGGCTCTGGTAGCTTTAAGAGCAATACATGTTAACTTAAGGCTTCATATGAACAGGTATAGATAGTAAAGGCTGAACATTTCTGAATATAAATATACTCTCTTTAATATATTTTTTTTGTCTCTTCAATATATTTTTTAAAATACAGTAAATAGAATAAGCTGATTGATACTCTTGATCCTAGTGTTCGAATTGGATGAAATCTAAAGCTTTAATATTGTCGCTTATCTCTATATGCAATATAGTAGTAGACAATATGTAATTCACACAGTTTTTCTTTATACATATATATACCTGAAGACTAAGGGAAAGTATTAAAAATGTTTAAATTCCATGTTTTTAAACACTATTTTATTTTTAAGAAATTATATCAAATATATTTAAAGAAAAAATTCCTATTCAATATATTTTGTATATTACGCACAATAGCTATAAATATTTCCACTCAGACGATTCAGAAGTGATGTGTGCCTCATATCTGGGGATGCCAGCCTGTTTATAAATACTTTTCATCTCTCTAGGATATATACACACATACATATATTATATACAGATTGTTTCTCATTGTACTCAGCGCACGTCCGATGAAATTAATCAGTAATTAATTGTTCACAAATCGTTTAGTAAACACGATACGATGCCTATGGGACAAGGGGCGGAATGAGGGGGCGAAGTAGAGGCTGTGAAGAGAACCTAAAGACTTGCTACTGTATGCGGCGCAGACTGTGTTTTAATAAACAATTTGTTACTAATTATGCGTCACGTCAAAACAAAAAACCTAAACTTTATAAATATTTATCAATTTGTGTTTATTTAATTTCTCGTATTTTTTATCGCATTGTTGTTTTTGTCGTGTTTTGTTTTGTTTGTTTTTTGTTTTCTGTTTTCTTTTAGTTACAATGCCACATTGGCAGAGCGAGCACGTAGTCCAAAAATGAGCAATAACATTAATACGAATCAACAATAAATCAGCTATAAAACGGCTGCTCCGAGTGGAATTTTTAGCATAGTCGTCGCTAGTCCAGTAGCCCCTCTCAGACCTCACACCCCTTTGCCTAGAACTTAAATGTACCCGGTCATAATTAATAAATTCCAGCGTGCGCCGCCAAACTGAATTCGCCGGGCCAAGGCAATGTCAAAAAGCAACGGCGACAGCGACGGCGACGGCAAACACAACCAAACAAACACAAGCACAACAAATTGACGTCACACGGTCGTCGCTGTTGGAATCGCCTGTCGTAGTTGTTGCTTGTTGCAAGTGTGACATGCGTATCGGGGCTGGGAACGAGTTAAACGTGTATTCAGAGCCCCAAAGATACAAACAAATGAGAAGCCCAAAGCAACAAAACCGAATGAAACATCCAAACGATCGCATCACAAACAGTTCTCTAGCCTACGCATCCAATTGGTTGTCATATAAAGCATAGAACAGTGTGGTTGTCCAATTGGTTTACAGAGTGTTTACAGTGAATAGAACAGTCTGAAAATCCAATTGGTTGACAATTCGAAAATTTCAGTTATGTAAGTGTGGCGTGTGTAGTATACGATTTAAGAAGCTGCCTTCCTTTACTAAGTATACATTAAGAATGACGGGCAATGCCGGACACAGATAATAGGTATTTAAACTCTGGTATGCAATAAAGAGAGGGGAAAAAACAGAAGACAACAGGCGACTAGTTTCCATTAAGCGATACGCCCCCTGACGGCCAACGGCGTCAACTTGGCGTCAGTCGAATGGGATAATAAGCACTGCTGGAAGACGGTGGCTCTGCTGCAAGGCGGGTTCATCAAGCCCCTGTCAGGACCAATTAAAAGACACTCTTGTACACCTGTATGTGTGTAGGTACATATGTATTTGAGCAGAATGCAGCCTCAGCAATGTCTATGTGTATGCTTGCATATCGTATGTATGTATAACAATAATAAACATATCAAATCAAACTGCTAGCGATGATTAAACAATAAGAAACTCATTTACGAAACGATCAGATTGCCATTAATGGACAGCGGCTGACTGCCAGAATGATTGCGAGCATTCCAATACGCCCCCAAGCAGCTAAATCCGCCTACTACGTCCATACGGATTTAGATAAAACCACCGGCGAGCCGTTGCCATTTCGAGCGATCGACCAATCAATTATACAAACTGCAAATAATGCAAAACAATGGAGAGCGAAGCGTGGTTCACAGAAGCGTGGGCGAGCCATAGAAGAAAAACAAGAATGGCGGACGGAGACTGTTCGAGCTAAGCTAAGAAAAAGCATTTCGCCGGCAAGGCGAATACTTTGTAACCTACACACACAGACGCACATGCAGAGCTACATATGTATGTATGTATGCAAAGTGCAGAGATTTATGGTGCGCGTTAGGCTCGGAATAACCCAAGACGCAAAAATGTGAGGCGAAAAAGCTAAATCAAAAAATAAAAATAATAAAAAAGAAAAAAGCAAAGCAGGCAAACAACGCAATCAAAAAGAAAACATGTGCTTTGCGAGCCCCCTGCGCACAAGAGAGTGCGAGCAAGCGAGAGAGGGAGAGCGAAAAGCAGGTCTGCGAATTCGCTTAAATATGAGCGTCACTGGCCGCTGTAGCTTCAGTTGCTCACTGACAAGTGCCCTGTGCAAAGCTCTACGCGCATTGTGAAAATAAACATATCCAAGTGGAAAGAAAATCAATCGCACAATCAATTGCAAAACCATAGAAAACTATAAATTATTCATTTAATACCCAACTAAATACAAACACAAATAATCAAACTCAATATGTACGCGGAAAAAGTTTTTATCGCTCTCGCGCTCTTCGCCTGCCTCGCCTGCATTGCCGAAGCGGCTGTCTACACGCAGCCCGCGTTCCTTCATCCTGGTTAGTATTTCTCTCCAAATTTCCAAATCATCTCTAACCAATACAGACAGAAACTCTAATTAGCTCAGGTTCTTTGTGAGGTTAAATGCAAGATAAACAATTTTGACTCGATAAAAAACTTAATTGCAATTTTTAAAATGGGAATCATACGTCATTGACAAGCGCATAATTAAAATTTTAATTAAAAATACTTGTGTTGTCAGAAACGACCTTTTCCAACAAACATAAAGAGCGAATAAAGCTAAGCGCAGTTGGCTATATAAATGATTGATTTATTGCTCAGTTTGAGCAAAGCTTCAATATTTTTGTTTTACATCGAGTTTGTAGTGTTTTTTTCTTTGTTTTAATTGTAAATGTTTGGAGGTCGTGTTATATGTTGTTCGACTCTATTTTTATTTGTATCTTATATTTGTTTTGCTTAATCTCTTTTTGATTTATTTTTGTTTTGCTGTTGTCGTTGACGTCAACATTTAAAACGCAGAAATACAAAGATATCATAATAAACAACGCAAAACACTCACCAAATTAGCAACAACAAATTTTGTTATTTTTTCATGTTTCTTTCTTTTGCTTTTGCTACAATTTTTCGTTGGGTTTTTTCGCGTCTGCCAAAAATTAGCATAAGAAATGTGCTGATTTTTAATTGCTGTCGCCTTCGTCGATGTTGTTGTTGCTGGTGTTGATTATTTATTAACAAATGTGAAGCGCTAATTTGCATAGCTATGCGGATTTGTAACACTAATATCGCCAAGACTTGATAAAAATATTTTTATCTCGATTTATTTGAGTGCGATCTCTTTTATTTTTTTATTGCTTACTTTTCGTGAAGGTCGTCCAACTGCTGACCGGGTTTTCGACTTTCGGTTTAACGATATAAAAATAGTCGATGAGTTCACAGCAAATTTCTTTCAGACCCGTAAATCCAGCAAATCGAGCAAAAAAAGAAAAACAATTCCAAATGAGTCTGCGAAGCTCTTTGAGATCGCGACCTAAAATGGCAATTGGACGTGCTGGAGTATCATTAATCAAAGTTGGCTGTGGCCGACGGCCAATTGTTATAAATAATAATAAAAGCGAGGCTGTCAATTGTTTGTTCACAAGTACCGCGCGAGTGTAGTATAATGAGAGAGTCGCTCGTGACTGGCAAGTTCGTTGCTTAAGTCTTTCGATTGTGCTGTGCCCAAAATAAAATTTGAAAGCAACTTCTCAGGCTTCATATAGTCCTCATAGATATTTATAGCTATATGTTTGTAAGCCAGTATATATAGATAGTTTTTGCAAAGCTGTAGCTACAGCTTCCTTGTAATAAAGCACGACTTACACACACACCCACATACACACCCAACTTCCGCTGTATCTGATTCTCATTATTCTTCTTCTTCTTTATTATAGCTCATCCCGGCAAATGCTACGATCGGCTGACCAGACGCGCAATGCTGCCCGACAAGGAGTACAAGCCGAAGGGCATCTGTGCCGCCATGACGTGCGACATTGAGGCGCGTCAGATCAATATCGAGACCTGTCCCTACATCGAGATGCCCGGCTGCGAGGAGCTGCCCAGCGACCTCAACTGGAGCTTCCCCAAATGCTGTCCGCAGTTCAAGTGCGTCGACTTTAAGACCGGCAAGGAATTCATTGTCTCCATTTAACTGCAACAACAACAAATATAACAACAACAGTGGAGAACTGCAGCTCCACACAACTCTCAAAAACGGGAACAGTGCCAAGAGCAAACGGGGGGAGGGGCGGGGCCTGTGCCTAAAACGTGATTTTACATAAAATGTATTCGTAGTTCTCTAGTTAGTCTGACTGTGTGAGTGAATGAGTGTGAATGAGTGAGCGTGAGTGAGTGTGTGGATGTATGAGCGAGTGTATGTGTGAGTGTGCATGGGTTAGCTTGTAAGTCACTTTGTTTGTTTGCTTGTGTTGCGTGAATGTTCCCAATAGGCAGGCATAATTTATTTATTATTCTAACTGTACATACCTCTATATGCATACATATATCTAAAGAGAAGCAATTTGCATTAATTTTTCCTCTCAATCATGAACAACAACATAATTTATACTATAATTAATAATTTGATTCTGCTGTTTTTGACTTCATCAAAAACTTTTGTATGCGATATTTGCAAATACATAAATTGTTTAGTTAGCAATATATAAAAAAATATAAAACATATAAATATATATAAAAAAATTTAAATTCAAGAACTATTAATATTTAAAGCTTGTTTTTTATTTGAAATCAGTCCATATCATGTTATTCGATCTCTGATTCAATCCCATTTCGTCATTTCCATATTTAAGCATCTTCGAGAGGCTCCAACGTCCACTGGTCTTACGCGCTTTATTTGGGCTTTGTCAACAGCGGCGGTAGTCAAAACCGTTTTTATTCAATTAACAGTGCCGACGCCGCCTCGACTTTGCCGGCTGATTCATCTCGGCCTTTTAATTTGGCAAACATCGCACATTCCGCCATAAAAAAAATTACTCCAAAAGCGCTATCCAAATACGAGCAAAAGTTTATTGGACCCCTGGGCCGTACCTGATCTGCATACATAACTGGCCAAAGCTAAAAATATACATGACTTTTGGCAGGAAACAATATATATTTATATATTCATATATATAMATATATATATGTCTGCCTTTCGGAAATGCTTTGTGGGTTATGCAAATATAAACAGTTTCATAGACATACGTGTTAAAAAAACAAACACTAATGTGAGTCAGAGTCTAAAGCGACTAGCAAAAGTTGTAAACAAACAGCAGACACGCAGATAATGCGATTTTTATTGTTTATAAACTAGGTGAGGTTGACTTTCACAAATATATATATAGCACCAAGGCTTTAAAGTTGGCGGCTAGTATATGAACGTTTTCCAGCACTGAAACTGAAACGGTTGCGGTACAGTGAGATGTGGTGGCTGCCGATAGCATAACTTTCGATAGGTTACACACATGTCATCGTTAACTTAGTTTGGGCGTTGTTTTCGTCGTAAAAGTGCAATTGTTTGTTATTTATTTTGTTTATTAATTGATTTTAATTTTATTGAGTTATCAATCAAAAATGCAAACGCAAACGTCTCTTACTCTGTTTCTGCTAATAGCAGCATTCATACATGAAGGTACGTCACAAAAATTTCCACTAGGCTGAAGAAGAAACAAACAAGTCGTAAACAATTTCCAAAGTGTGAATCCATTAGAGCTAGATATATCTCACTAATTGATGACTCGTTGTTAACAGGTGCCGCCATTTGGTGTTATCGCTGCACCTCCGCAACGCCCGGCTGTGCCGATAATTTCAACTGGCGCGGCATTGGCTTCCTGGGCGAGCAGTGCCCCGAGAGCAACGACATCTGCGTCAAGGTCACGGAGCGCCGTGGAGCCAAGGAGACAATAACAAGGGATTGCCTCAGCGCACTTAACTTCCGCACCGACATCCCAGCTGATAAGTACGAGGGCTGTCGTCCGGCTGCCAAGGATGTTCGCCTGGCCCACTACGTCAACCACACGATCAAGGAACACGATGTGAAGCGCGACTTTTTCACAGAAACAACGTTCTGTTTCTGTTTCCTCGACCATCGTTGCAACGGAGCCAGCAGCCTGAAGACCTCAGCCATGGCTGCTGCGGCTGCTCTCCTGCTGCTGCTCGTTGGCCTCCACTGATTAGCACCAAAACGAAGTGTCTTAGTGCCTTAGCTTTAGTATAACGACAGTTTAATTTCAAGCTCGAATCTCGTCCAGCCACAACATTCCGTCCACTATCGCTCTTTGTACAATTTAAAATTACAATTTTACAATTTTACGGTTTCTATATTTACCGAACTATTTATGTAATACAAATTTTTACAATATATATAACATAAGTGGAGTCTCAATTCAGCGCCTGCTTGGGCGCCCGGTAATCGTAGTTAGCCACCTCGGGATGTGCGACCAGATGATCCGCATAGGCATCGGCCAGGCGGAGGCACTCAGCCACAGACAACTCGAAGGGTCGCATAGTATCCTTAACATCGGCGCGCTGGAAGAGCGCCTGTGTCGTCTCCTCTCGGCCTTCTGGAGGCAGCAGCGTGCTGTAGCCACGACGACAATATTTCTGACGCATGCTGAAGATGTGACGTACGACGCGCTCCACGAGTGGAAAGGGTAGTTCCGTCTTTGGTCGTTTCAGAGGAATCACTTTGACGACTCCAACGTCCACCTGTGGCTTGGGCACAAACGCCTTGCCAGGTATGATGAACTTGAGCACTGGCTCAGTCCATATCTGCGACATTACCGAGAGGCGACAGCGTTGTTCGCTGCCCACCTGAGCGCAGATGCGTTCGGCCACCTCCTTCTGGAAGGTGAGCGTCATGCAGGTGTCGTTTCTTCTGAATGCGCCGCGTCTCCGGGACAGATCGTCAAACCAGTTGATGAGCAGCCGTGTCGAGATGGCAAATGGCAGATTTCCTATAAGATGCAGGCGCTGCGTGGTGTCGGGCACATGCTGTTCGATGTTGAAGCGCAGAATGTCCTCGTGATAGATCTCCACTTCCATGTCCAGCGGGCGGGCGCATTCGCGCAGCAGCTGCAGTGTCTCGGTGAACCGGGCATCCTTTTCGACTAGCAGCAGACGCTGTGGCTGGCGACGTAGAATGGAACGCGTTATGCCTCCGGGTCCCGGGCCCACCTCCAAGACAATATCATTGTGATCTATGCGGCCGGCGGACTTGACTATCTTGTCCGTTAGTCGCTCGTCCATGAGGAAGTTCTGGCTGAGCTGCTTCATGGCCTGCAGCTTGTATAGCTTCACCAGATCCCGGATGCTGGGCAGCGGCGGCAGCCGCATGCCGCTGCTGAGGATGCGCGCCGAGGCTTGAGACATCTGTGGACAAAGCTGAGAAATTAGCTCCAAAGTGCTGACCCGAGATCACAGAGTACTTACAGTGTTATTAGTAGTTACGCAACGATTTTAGAAATGGTGTAAAACTGAAATTGAAGAACAAGAGCTTACAAACTAACTAAGGCGATACGGAGTAACAGGTGCGAGGATCAAATTTAGTTGGTGTTGACTTTCTTCGGCTCCTCGAAGTCGTCGAGGAACTTCTCCTGCTGCACCGAGAATATGGAGTAGCCGTAAATGGCCAGAACTGAAAAGCCAAGCGCTCCGGCTGTTAGCAAGTTGTTGCGTCGAACACGTTTTAATTTCTGGACACGATCCAAGTTCTGCTCCTCGATCAGTTTCATGAACTGCAGCTGGGCTTTGTCTAGCTTGGGTGCGGTTTCTCCGTACTTGATTTTGGGTCCTTGTTCCGATGCCGACATTATTGCTCAAATCGAGTTAAGTTGTTAAACAGTCAGCCTGATAGGGACGTTTCCTATTTAGATTACAAGTTTCGGCAAAAATTATGAAACTCACATGAATTAGTGGTGTGCTAGAGTATTAATTTCTACTTATCGAATACTCGATACAAAACAGCCGGTGAGTCGATAGTTCCTATCGATGTTGCTAATCCAATGTATAGCAACAATTGCACAATGTAAGCAACATAGTGCCTTCTGATTGGGGGCTTGAGTGCAACGTGAAAAGCTGTGTGAAACAGTTCGTGGAGTTTGTGGAGCTGTTCGCTAGCATTGTACTCTGTGTTCCGTCGATTTACAAGTCGTTTGAAAATTGGTAGCTGAATTACTGCCACTGCTGAGCGATAGCAGCGTGGAAACTAAGCCCAATCCGAGACGAGCCAGCCAGTTAACAAAGTGCGTAAATAATAATAGTTTGTATGTAGAGAAAATAAAATACTGCGTTTTTTAATATGAGCAATCCACATTGAAATACATAAATATGTATGTACATACATATATACTGAATCCATATGTATTGTGAATAATGTGTGTGAATAGCGAAAAATTACTCAATTGAGGAAATGAAAGCAAATCCCAGCTCAAATACCAACACAAAAATTTGGTTGCGTGCTTTAAGACCAAGTTGGAAAAAATGTATTACAAAAATAATATAACAGCAACAGCAACAACAACAAAAGCAAAACAAACGCGTAATTGCAGAAATCAGCTGTGTACCTACAGCTCCACGTTCGTACACACGCACACAATGACAGCCAGCCAACGACACATGAGCAAAGGCAGCAAAACAAAACACGATTCGTGCTCCAATTGAGCGCCAAACAGTTATATTCTCTGTCCCTGCCAGTTCCCCTCGTTCTATAAGTCAAACAACTAACAGCTGGTTGAGTGCTTACGCTCTCTCCCTCGCTTTCATTCTCTCTCTATCGTTCTCTCTTGCTGTTGTTGCGTATTCTTCTATTCTCGTATTCTCTGGCTCTGACAATTTGCCTTTATATGGTTCGTTTTTCGTTTGTTTTGATTCTACAGCGCAATCAACTTAGCCAGCACTTGATGCACTCTCGCTTATAGAAGGAGAAATGTAAACTGAGCAATTTAACACAAAATAGTATGTTCCTTCGTCTATTAATTTGGGCAATTCCAAATAAGGTCGTCTGCCTGCGACGTTGATAAGTCGCTATCGTCTGGGCAAAGGGTATAGATGGGTCGACTCGATGGCCTAATTTCTGCAGTAGCTCGGAAAATGCGCAACAAATTTTTGTTGCACTGCTGACTGAATACAATTTTCAAATTTCACAATTTTCTTTCTACTCTTACAGCCAATAACAGAGACAGACATTTCGCTAACCGAACCTAATAAAACGCATATTAACATATTATTTGAACCGCGTTATTCAAACCGCCGTCCGCATAGAAATTTCAAAACAACAATATAATATAATAAGCGAAAACTAAAAATATAAACATAAGAGTAATTAAAATAAACTCATCATACGTAATAGACCGTAATAAGTGAAAAAAAAAAAAAAAAAAAAAAAAACCGAATACAACAAAACACACATGGCGTTCATTTCGAAAGATTTTCGTTCACCTGGCGAAGCTTGGGTCAAGACAGACGAGGGCTGGGAACGCAAGAAGGTGCTCGAGTGTGGCGGCAAACGCAAGCGGTAAGTTTTATTTATAATATTCATTTTGATTTTTTTTTTTATTCATATGCGATGGACAATAGACAGCTCTGATTAGCAATCAATTGATCGATGACAAAACTCTTTTATGACAATCGATTTGTATTGCGTATGCATGCACAATGCACACACATTCGGCACAGAAGACAATGGAATATGTTAACTTGAAAGTTTGAACTTGTTCACTCCATTTAGGTCACATGCACAGCCTACTTAGGCACACTCGCATACACATACATATGTACATATGTACATATACATACATATACATAGTATATGTCTGCATATACAAACAATGTTTGACCTGCCACATCTGGAGAACGCAGTTTTCGAAACTTAAATTATAGATAAGATAATGTGGCAGCAAAATTTGACAGATTAAAGGCCAAGGCCACCGGAACTGATTTTGGTTAAGGAAATTAAAGCCAAGGCTTTTTGACGTCCTACTAAAGTTCTTATCAGCTAGTTACTTTAGGTGATTTGTATAATTAGAAAATGTTCAATCTTAAATGTGTGTTTATTTGCACAATATATGACTAGAGTGTTATGCAAACCTAACAATAGTTGTATTTTTTGCCTTGTTCAAAGCACAATAGCGTCTACCTTCCCTTCAACTTATAACAGCAACAACAAAAAACAGCTTTAGTGTTGACATAGCATCAAAGCAAAGAAGACAAATACAAATAATGAACTGACAAATGTCGAAACCGTTTTATTATGCCCATGAATTAATAAGACTGGCCACACACACACATAAAACATTGAAATTTGTTAAGTTAAAATACCAACAATTTAGAATATGTATACAAACTTACATACATACATCCACATGTGGGTGTTTGTGTGTGCACTTGAAGAATATTACAGACAGACATAGGCACTTGAGAAATCTACATACATACATATGTATGTATATCTGTATATGTATCGATATCTCATTTGGAGTGCAATCATTAAAATGACTCACGGCAAATGAGTGTGAAAGTGCAAGCAGCAGCGGCAGACGAAAAGGGAGAGCTGCTGCTGCTGTTGYTGCTCTAGGCGCTCCCATTTGATTGATGGCAATTTGATTTACAATGAAATCGCAACATAAGCAAAAACCAACGGCTGGCAAGGCTGTAAATAGAAATCTGGCAACGCTGAGCCAGTTAGTAAACAAAGTCATAGATGCTATAAAAACGTTAATGGTGAATGATTAAGTATGAAAGTAGGGCCTCCAATACAAAACTATACCTACACGAGGGGAGTTTAATCACTTACAGCTTTTTGGCGTTCAACAGAAGTGAATAAGAAAAATAAGAAAAGATAAGAAAGAAATAAAAAGTACATAATATATTTCTATAATTATGTATTTGTTTCAAAATACGAGGGTAGTATTCGTCGCTTTAGAGCTTAACCAAAAGCTAAAACAGAAGAAATGTAAATTAAATCTTTTAATGTTAAGTAAATTTATATGTATATACATATATCTTATATGAGCTTTGTTGCTTTTCAAGCCATGTATATTAGTGCTTGTCTCCTCTGCAGCAGTTAGGCTCAATTCTCAGGAGATGGGCACCACAAAAAAAATCCCAAACGTGACGAAGCGAAACGTGGCTAGCCGGAACCCGCTCGCTCGACTTACTTGAAAGCTGCACAGAGTTTTACATAAAGCAGAACACCGTGAAATGCACATGCATAGGGGAAACAGAATTCAGTTTAAAGTGCTTATTTTAACATGTCATAAAACACATTTTTCAAAAAAAAAANAAATTTGGCATGCATACTCGTGAGTACCATACGCAGTACGAGTTTGCTTTATTTTTTCGATAAATCGTCCGATAACTTTTTTATCGAGAATAATCGAAAAATTGATTTTGTTTTTTTGGCCTAATTTGAACATTTTTAGACCTGGAGTCTTCAAATTTGCGTTGTATATAAAGTTAATCGGTACAAAGATTTTGTAATTTACAGATTTTGGATACCACGCCCCCTTCACCCCCAATTTGTAAAAGACGCATTTCAAGTACTAGAGACTTGGGCTTTGGAATGTACACACATATTCACCATATGATTACGCCCTAAAAGTTTCATTAAGATCGTATGTCTACAAAAGAAGTTATTCAACAAATAAATTCTCATAATATTGCCCACACTGCAGCGCAGCCCAAGCGCAGTCGCTGCTTACTGCGCAGTTAGCAGAGCGCAGGCTTATGCGTGCGTGTGGAAGCATGTGTATGTATGTGTGCATAAAAGAAGTGCAGAATGATTAGAATATCAGCTTDSWGGGTTCAGGGTATCTCCTAGTCGAGCAGTCTCGACTGGAGCTTTCTTACTTGTTTTAAATTGGTTTTCATTGCTGAAGGACCTTTTCGGCTTTTATGTAAAAACTTAACTARGCGAAGCCTTGGAAACTTTAACTCAACGCAGCTCAACTCAAACACAGTTCGCCCTTTGGGAGGGCGTGTAACTCGGTCAAGTTTAGTCGAAAGTGCGGGCTGCTATGGGTCTGTGTGTTAGTGAGTGAGAGAGAGAGTGTGTGTGTGTGTGCTAGCTCAAGGTTCCGTAGCCATTTTATGAGCCCAAACTTCCACAATGAATCGATTTTAAGTAGGGCGCCAGCACGAAATCTTAAGCAGCCCAAATTTATGTTCCTATGATTAGGTCAAATAGCTTTTAGTGAAGGGTTTTCCAGAAGGGCAGCAGGGAAAAAGAGCATAAATTAACTTTAAATTCAATACTGAAAATTTGCGTAAGCAATAAAAGTTTTCATGCAATAGGAAATGTCTTTGATACGTAAGTGGAAAGTTTCATAACTGCCTCAACGAATATTTTATTATTTTTTGCGTTTCTACACTATATTTTCCCATAATTTTGTGGATCAATTAAACATGCAATTGCCCAACTCTACATTGCCGACACTTCGTAATGCACTCCATTCATAATTAAAAACTCCAAATGCCAAATTTCCAATTACATAAAGCCTCAAATTTAATCAGAGTAGTTGCACACGCGGACATGGATTAGGAATTAGGAATTGGACGTGGACGTGGATGTGGATGTGGACATGGATGCGGACGTGGATGTCAGTCTCGATGTAGACATTGATGTCGATGTGGATGTGGACCCACTTTCACTTGCACTCTCCATTGAACATTTGTTGGCCTTTTGAATTGATTCGCTATTGCATKTATTTTTCCTTTTCTTCTTCTTCTTCTTGTGCACTTTCAAAAGCCAAAGAAAATGCGTTCAATTTCATTTATACACTGTTGAGCAGGGTTTATGTTTTACATATTCAACTGGCAACATAGACTGTGGTCTATGAGCCTTACTAATATTAGGAAATTTTCTGATTACAATCATATTATTTAAATATATTTTTGAGTATTTATATAAAATATAAATGTATACAAAATTATATTATACACACATATGAAAAGTATACAAATTCTGGTTCTAATGGATTGGATTTTATACCACTTATTGGAGATACTGTTTATTTCTTGTAAAGTACTCATTCCCGGTATATAGTGCTAGTTTAATTTATTTATTCGAATTTTCTTAACTCTACTTATAATATCGAACTAAATTCGACTTGAAGCCGTATTACTTTATATAGCTTGACGATTTTTACCTTTCTCTGTTTTGTTGCTTAGTGTAATGAGCGCACTTATCATTTTGCTATGGCGCCCACTTTTATTGTATCTGTATTACTTTTTCTCTGCCTCTCTGCATCTTTCTGCTTCTGTTTCCCTCTCTCTCTCACTCTCGTTACAAGTTTGTCATTAGCATATCGTGGGTCCATGATCCGAAACTAATAATGCTTTGATACTGAAATTCTACGCAGTTTGCAGTTGGAGCTTTTCTTCTATATAGACTGCCAACTTTTAGCTCTGGCATCGGTCTATTTATAGCCGTTTGAGAGCGACAGCGACATGTGATAGCTCCCAACTTCGTCTAAAATTAGACCAGAACTCGACACGGCTTCACTTCACATCACTTTGCTCTATCTCTCTCTCTTTCTCTGTCTGCATTTCCCTGCTTTCCTTCTGCTGCTGCTCAGCCTCAATAATTAGTGTCTAAAAAGGTCGCACACTTAAAAATAGACAAGCGAATTGCAGTTGGGCCCTGATCTCAGCCGCATTCGTTGCATTTGTTTAATTTGCCTAAAAGAAAGGTAAACGAACGCTTGATAGCGATGGCAATGGCTATGGCTATGGCTATGGCATGGCTATGGCGTCGTTGACTGATTTATATGAATCACGTGGTCGTCGGCCCCCAACAACTCTCTCTCTCTCTCTCTCGCTCTCTCTCTCTGTTCCACTGCATTATCATCATCTCTGGCATCCATGCTCTGCCAGCCGAAGCCAACGCCAGCGCAGCTGCCACAATTGCTGCCAGCTCGGATCCTACAGCTTTGGCCTGCTCGCTGAGCATCAAACAATAACAATAACAACATTAACGACAACAATCATTTCTTCTGTTATTATTTTGTTAATGGCGGCTGACTGTGCACTTTTGCTACCTGTGCAATGGCCATGAAAATGTTGAGCTTATTTCACAAAATTTGCTGCAGAAATTAAACCACAGTCTTGATTTAAGTTGTAGAGATGCTTAAAATACGAGAAGAGAGTATATTGGCTTTGTGAATAGCGAATCTAGGGGACCAGCCTTTTCTTTGTTTACTCGCCAAAACTGAATACTAAACATTTGGCATATCTGTAATTATATACATACAAATAAACTCAGGAGCCTTATCTTATGAAGTGGTACAATATTTGTGTACTGAAAGTGTGGGTATACATATTATATGTACATATATTATATATGGATATATGTGTATTGATTTTAATAGCTTTGGCAATTTAATTGGGATGACAACTTGTAATCTACGTATACATATATGTATGTATATATATTCATATAGTATAGTTTATATTGCTTCGCCTTTTTAAGGGCATAGCAATTGGTTAAGTGGATGATATATCTTGCTCAAATGTTTAGCTTTTAGCGATATATTTGGCAAGCAAGGGTTACTACTTCTGACTTCTATTATTTGTACAAAAATCGCCAGAATACATATGTATACATAGAGCTTAAATCGTTTGGTTTCCAATAAGTTTTTACCAAAATATGTGAAATCACATATGTACAATATATTTATTGCTCTGAGGTAAATGAACGCTTACTAGGCAAGGCTGAATTGAGAATGACTAATCGCTATGCGAGTTAGAGACTTGGGAATGTAATTGAACAGTTTTTTGTTTTAATTATTCACTTCAAATTAAATATATAGTTTTGTTTCACTTAATATATTTTACAATTATAGTTTATTTTAGAATAGAATATTCAGTATTTTCATAAATAATAATTTATTTGTATTCGTCTCGATTGGAACTCAATTAAAATTGGATCAATTTAAAATTTAATAAATAAAATTCGTGTTCCGATTTAAAACTGGCTGGAAATGTGTAATAAAATAACTGTAAAGTTTACTTACTTTACTTTCTTTTTAACAATCAAAAGTCTTTAACATTACATTATTATTTTTTGGTCTAAGGCCTCAAAGAGTGATAATTACCCTCTAAATTATGCAGATAATTTAGTTGAAACACGAAATTGCAATTAGTTGGCAAATCGTTGTGGGCAAATCGTTGACGACAGATGCAGAGACAGAGGCCCTTCACATACATTCACCCAACCAGGCACACACATACATACGTAGAGAGACTGACCCAGTTTAGTCCATAATTGAAATGCATTCGCCCAAGGACATGTCATGTCCGCGTTGGCAGCGATTGCCCAGCTGAGGGAATAGCCGCATTCTAAATATGGTCAAGGCGCATCGATCTGATCGAAATGAAGTCGGAATTAGATTAGTGAGCTGTAAGATATGGCCAATCTATGTGAGTTAAAGGTAATATTATGAAAGGAAGCAGGTTAAATGAAAGGGTTCTTTAAAAAGGATTAAATTAGTTTTTGTTATTTGAGATAAAATAAGAATAGTCAAATCTCTTTTATTTGTAGTTTTTCTAGCTATGAAATATTGAGAAAAGACAGTTTTGAATATATTGCATATTAATCTAAACTTTGCAATTCAAATATAAATATTGTTTCTATACTGTTAGCCCAAAGTGCGATTACGACAAATTGTTGTTGTTAAAATGTATGCAACAGACATAGACATATGACTATGTATGTACATATATTTCAATATCATGATTCATAAAGCAGTACGACGAACTGAGTCGAGCTCCTCCGTTCGTTTTGTAAATGCGTACTTAATGTATGTGGGCGAGAGAAAAATATATCTTATATTTAT